AGCCTCCTCGGGCTGGATGGAGCAGCTCAGGTCTCCACTTTCCTCTGGGAGCCACGTCTTTCCCTGCCCACTCACCGTGTACCCCTCAGCTCTGCCCTTCTCTACCTGCGTGTCCAACAGAGAAGGCCCGACAAGGTGTGGTTTGCACCAAGGAGACCTGCGCAAGTCCAGCACAGTCCAGTTTATGCCTAAAAGTGATATTTGTTTTTAAAATTAGTAAGTCTCATTAGTTGTCAAAGATGAACTGTGCAATGATTTCCTAGGGATGGATGATTTCTGCCTCTGCAGAGAATGCTGGGCTCCCTCTCTGCCTGGGGCTGTGCTGTCTGTAGACCCCACAGTGGGGAGTTCGGCACTTGGAGGGTTAAGTCGTTTCTCTCACCTGGAGGCTGTTTTTTCCTGAGGCACTTGGCGTTAAACAAATGACATGCTGTCTAGAGAGAAGGGTATTTAAATTACATTGCTGGATTCTGCGTTGCCAAAAGGAAGCCCTCTGGGGTATGTTATATATTTGACATGCATTTGCAGTGTGTAATTGGAACCATGAGAAAGGGTTTTGTTCAAAGCTATTGAATAGTTTCCTTATTTTGAACCTGTTGAATCTGGAAAGAGTCATTTTTAATTTTTTTTTTTTTTGTCTGATAATGACTCTTAAAGTTTAGGGCAAAGAGGAGTTTCTATTCCAAATGCCCACGCCCCTTCCCCCCCACAGCTTTTTGATTGCCCACATACCTGGTGTGGCTACTGTGAATACCTGGTGTGGCCTCTGAGTACCTGGTGTGGCCACTGAGTTCCTGGTGTGGCTAGTGAGTACCTGGCATGGCCACTGAGTACCTGATGTGGCTGCTGTGAATACCTGGCGTGGCCACTGAGTACCTGGCGTGGCCAGTAAGTACCTGGCATGACCACTGAGTACCTGGCATGACCACTGAGTACCTGGCATGGCCACTGAGTACCTGGCGTGGCCACTGAGTACCTGGCGTGGCCAGTGAGTACCTGGTGTGGCCATTGTATACCTGGTGTGGCCACTGAGGCTGGTCTGTCTCCTATTGTCTGGGTACCTAAGTGTCAGAGCTAGAAGGCTGGGACTTCCCATCTACACAGAGGGGCTGGAGAGGGTCGGGGGTGCCGAGTGCCCTGCTCAGGAGCGGCAGGCGCAGGCCTGACCCATCCTCCCACCCCTGGGTTGCAGCTCCTGCGTGGGGATGAATCAGAGCCGACAGGCTGGTTTTCCATATTCTTGCTAAGGAAAGCTGTCATCTCACTCGCTCTCCTTCTCTGAGCTTTCACTTTCTGCAAATCAATTTCCTTTCCTTTTTGTGAGGAGGGCATCACAGGCTCCGGCAGCAGCAAGGTGTTGCTGGCAGCTGCCACTTCACCTGCGCTCGGGTCTTAGCCACTGACGCCGCTGCAGGTGTTGCCGAGGGTGGTTGGGGCTTCCCCATGGAGAATGGCAGGACGGACGGAGACTTGGAGACTACTGTGGACCAGCATGCAAAGAGGCTGGCGGGGGCTCTGTGGGACAATCGTGGCAGCATGGTGGGGCGCCTGAGGCCCAGGTGGGCTCTGCCCTCTGCTTAGGCCTGTGGCGGCACACAGCAGGACATGGAGAAGCTCCCCTGTGTGACATTAGAAGGCCAGGTGGCTACCCCAGGGCACAGCCTGCAGTCCTCTCATGAACTGGCCTTTTTTCCTCGAGGCAGAGAAGTGGACCAGGTCGGCCTCTGGGTGACCTGCTAGGCCGTCTGCTTTCCCCGGAAGAACTGCCAATCAAGCCATGAAAAAGCCTGTGGTGTGTCAAGGCAGGTGCCCGTCGGTGGCATGAGCCCGTAACGTGTGTGTCTCCTGTGGCTGCCTCACCCCACTGGCCAAGGACAGTGGCCCTTTAGAGAGCCCTCTCAGTTTGACATGGGAACAGAAACTGGGCCCTCCGACCAAGTCAGGCCCTGGTGGGCTGAGGTGGGAGGTCCTCACCTCGGTGGCTTCTCTGGGCAGCGCCGAGCCGTTTCCAGGAGCAAAAGAGGCTGAAGTGGATGCTGAAAGTGCTGACTGACCGCTGTCACTCACGACTGTCTGTCTGGAAATTGATTTTGTCCAGTGGCCCGACAAATTGGGACTCAGCAGTCAGTGTCCAGATTCCCCGAGGCTGCAGAGCTGCCGAGTGGTCTCCCCAGGACTGCCTGGGCAGGTGCTCAGGTGGCCTTGGTGGGAACCTGCCTGCAGTGATGCCGCGTTAAACGATGCTCTTCTCCGAAAGGTGCCACAGCCTGTTAGTCTGACGTCTGTGGCCATGAAGGGCTCCCCTGTCAGCACAGAAGGTGAATGTGAGCAGTGTTAGAAATCCAAGAGTAATGCCAGTGAGCTAGGAGTTTTCCAGGGGGAACAACGGAGGACCTTTTAAGGGTTACAGATTTGGTTTTGTTTGAGCTGAGATAATCATTTTAAATTCACTTATGAGATTCAGTGACTTTGTCTACAGCAGATGCAGTGGTGCACTCTCGTTTGATCGAGTGTTTTGTGCGTGTTCCACGAGCCTGACCGTGAGCTTCGTTTTTAGAGGGCAAACGATAGACGTTTTCGAGGAGTGATAGATGTTCTTTGAAACCACGGAGCGTGGTGTTTCCGGTTTGCTGGCTAATGGAGGCCAACACTGGTCGGCGTCAGGGCCTCTCGTCCGTGAAGGTCACCTCGTGCTGCCAGCTCCGACCTCTCATGGGACAGGGAACTGGGGAGCGCAGGGCCCGCGGGAGCGGGGCAGGCCCTGGGACGAGCTTTGCAAGTGGGAGCAGGGAGGGGGCTCTGCTGGCGGTGGGTGGGGAGCAGTCAGAGAAGGGGGTGGCTGCTGTGCGTGAGGCGAGCATGGTATAGCCGGGGCAAGAGCAAGCACGGGGACAGAGCCGTGGCACACCCCAGCAGGTTGTCCTGATGGAGTGAGGCTTGGCGGGACGGGCCTTGCTTGCGGTCCCCGGCAGGGCGGGGCCGGGCAGGCGTGGGCGTCCTCGGTGGGCCCTCTGTGCAGGCCGGTGCCCATGAGCAGGAGCCTGTGGGGAGCTGTTTCTGGGGTCCTCCTCCTGTGTGATGGATGTCACAGTACCTTTGAGCTTTTTATTTTGGAGAAAGTTCTTTTTATGTAGTTTTAAGTAAATTTATAAGTAAAAATTTCATAGTCAATAAAAATCACCATAAGTATATAAATAAACTGTACAGAATCATGTCCATTTTTTGTTGCTATTTAACATGTGGAATAAGAAATCCCTAGATGCAAAAAGTTGCAGGGGAAATTGGTAGATAATATTGGTAGACCTACAGTGACTTCTTGTGATTTTTTTGCCTAAGATTTCCAGGTGTGTTTTCCTGGGAGGCGATCTGTTTGCCAACAGTGGTGTGTGCATGTAATTGGTACCTCACATGCCCACACCTGGAGTGTCCTCCCCAGCTCTGTGGTGTCAGGCTGCAGATGGAGCACTGGAGGCTGCGTGTGCGGCCCTGGGCGTGGAGCTGGTTCCCCGCGGGCCTGAGCTGCGCTGTGCCCCTCACGCCCGTCCAGCTGGCCGCCGCCTGTTGGGCTGCGTTGTGTTTTCTTTGCTCAGTGGCCAATCCCCTACCTTCAACTTGTCTCAGGCGGCATCCACGTGCTATCACCCAGCTCGGCGTGCGTGCAAATCCTGCATTGGTCGCTGCGGCGGGCGCCTGCCCCTGGGAGGGCAGCTGCTGTGCCCGGCTTTGCTCTGCAGACTTTGTGCTGTGCATGACCTGTGGAAGGACACGCCCCCCCCAGCCTTGCTCTGGGTCCTGCGCCGGCTGCCTCTGGGGCATGGGCCGTCTCTGTGGCCGTCCACGTCTCAGGGGCGGGTTGAGTCCGCTGTTGGTCAGCAGAAGTGGTTCTGCTGGGGGCTGCCGTGCCCAGGAGCGGGGAGACGTTTGTCCCACTTACTTTATGAATAGATATTTCATGCATTCTTAATTTTAATAATTTTTTAAACACCAGTGTGAGTTGCTTAGTGTGCTATATTTTAGTTGTCTGTCTTGAATCCAATAAGATTGGAGTTTTTAGCATGGTATTTCAGAAAATTTCATTTAGTGTGACATAGAAATGAACATTTTATTTTTGAATTACAACATAAATGTTTCCTAAACTTTTCTCTACTATGTTTTCCTTTGATTATTTTTAAGAGGCTTTTAAAAATTAACATTTGGTTCATTTATAAAATTAATTAAATTCCTTAAATATTTTAAACCCAATGCATAAATGTAACATATTTTATTTTGTTTTTAAGTAATGTACGTATGTGTCTCTAAAAAGCAAACTCTTCCAAAGTACTTGAAATACATGAATCTAATAAATTAGGTGAGTAAAGTTTTGGCTCCTTTAGATGTTCCAGTATCCTCACCAGGAGTTTTAAAATTGTCTCATATCTTTACGTCAGAAATCATGTGATCTCAGATCACTCAATTACGCATTTTTAAATGGACCAGAAAGATGATCCGTTAGGTACTGGAGTTGCCTTAAGTTTACAGGTATTTGGCATGACAGAGCACACACGGGATGCCACCCCCACCCCTCGGCCCAGAGCATCTGTGACCCGCGTCTGCTGTGCCCGGAGCTTGCCGGGCTGCTCTCTGTGTGGCGCCAGGACCGCCGGGCTCAGGGCTGGCGTCCCCACGGCAGTGCCACCCTCCCTCGTGGCAGCTGCCTCTCGCTGGCCTCCTCAGACTGAGTCTGCGGCCGCTTGCCGTGTTCTATGCTGTGCAGAATGAACTTTCTCTTCTTCACGTGATTTCAGGGGAACTTCTAGAAATCCTTCTTCACTTGATTTGAAAAATCTCCTGTTTTCCTCCCAGATGTTTATTTTCTGACAAGGCCATGCGTCTCACAGTGACTTTGGTTGACCCCGCGCTTCTCATGTGTCTCGTTTGGGGCCGTGGCTGTGCCTTGACGCAGACGCTGGTCATTGGAAGCCCTGTGTGGCCGCTTCTCACACTCTTTGTCTCCCGCCCAGCCGTCCCCGTGGTCCTGAAGGCGCTGACCTACGAAGAGAAGCGGGGCGCCTGCAGCGTGGGCGCCAACGTCAGGGATGCCGCCTGCTATGTGTGCTGGTCCTTCGCACGTGCCTACGAGCCGCAGGAGCTGACGCCCTTCGTGACGGCGATTTCGAGGTAAAGCCTGAGGGTCGTGGCGTGTGCCTCCCCGATGGTCGTGTGAGGGCCCCCCAGGGGTGGCGCGCAGAGGGGTGTTCACCTGCAGTAAGACACGGTAGGAGGAGAGGGTCTGTATGGCGTGGGGCCGAGTACCATTTTATGGGTGAGCTGTCCAGCCAGATGCGTGTGGCAGCCTGCGGTCAGCGGGTCCTCGGGTGAGGGTGACCGGGCTCTCTGGTGGTGTGGGAGGAGCACAGGACGTGTGCGTGATCAGGCGTGCACACCCCAGGGTTGCCGCGCCAGGCCCCGACCGGTGACTTTTGGAAATTTGGCTGTCTGCAGCCTTCTCCTTAAGAGATTTTCTGGAATGTGGTGGATGTGTTGGAAAAGGAAACCTTCAATGGTGTGTGTTGTTGCTGAGGGCTGGGTTTTGTCTGGCCATTGTATTTTGCCGTCTGCGACAAGCGCTCGATGTTCAGCAGGACTCGCTGGCGCGCTCTGTTTGCAGCTCCCCTGAGACGTGTGAATAAATACTTCAGAGCAGCCCTCTGAGGGGGGGCCTCACTCTTCCTCTGGCGTCCGAGGGAATAGCTGAAGCCAGCAGGTTGGTATGGTCTCTAGAACCCCGAGCCGTGCGCCAGCCGTGGCTGGCGGGTGCCGCATGCAGGGTGCGTGGCTCCTGCGTGTGCCTGGCCACGCCCCGCAGCATGTCCAGGTCGATGTTCAGGATCTGATGTTTTTCGTTTAGGAAAAATGGAGGATAAGTGTGTCCCCAGCGTGGTAAGTTCTTGAGTTAACTGTGGCGCGCCGATTTGCTGCTCTGCTTCTGGGCTGGAGTTAGCTATGGGATGGAGAGGGCCGGCGCTCCACTTCTCCCTGTTTGCTGAGAGCCAGAGGTGGGTCTGCAGCGAGATGACTCAGTGCTCGTCACAGGCGTGGGAGCCCACGGCTGAGTCACCCCGAGATTTACACCAGCACTTTACCTGACAACTTTTACTAGGAAAATGAACAAGGAAAACGGATTTCACAACCATGCCCGGGTCCTGTCAGCTGCCTCCCACAGCTCTGCGGGAGGTGGCACTTCGAGTTCTCTATAAGATGCCCAGGAGGAACGTGAGAACACCCAGGTCTGAGCTGGCCCCAGAGAGGCCTCTGTCCGGGGCTCATGCTGCCTCCCTGGCCTGGGCAGGGTAGGCACCCTGGGTGCTGAATCAGCCCTGCTGCACTGGGCCCTGCTGCTCCAGGCGCTCCTGACAGCAGCAGCAGAGTGCGGGGTGGGCGGCGGGGCCATGAGGGCAGCTGCCTGGCAGCACCCCAGTCTCAGACCAGTGTGGGCCCCAGCTTAGAGCCTCATTCTGTTCTCACTGTTGGTTCTCTCCCCGCACATTTAGCAGGGTCAAGATAGGGACCCTGGGGGTGCAGCATGGGCCTGTGTTTCACAACCTAGATTCTTGCACCAGAGCAAAGCCTGTGGAGCATGAGGGTCCTGCCCTGCTTGGGGAGATAAGGCGTTTCCCGAGGAAGTTGTAAACCTGCTGCCTTCGCTGTCTTGTCCACCTGGAGGGGAGCGGCAGCCGCAGGGTGCTTGTGTTGCGGGTGCCTTGTGCAGAGTGGCTTACCTGAGGCCAGGGTGGCAGAGGACAGGTGTGGCCACACCTCTGCCTGTCTCTGTCCCTGACAGCCACGCTGATGGTGCTGCTGCCCGGGGGCTTGTGGCTCGTGGTCTTCAGGGAGCAGCGTCTTGCAGAGGAGGAGGAAGGGTGGTGAGGACAGGCCGAGGGTGTCCACTGAGCCTGGGCCCTGCCGTGTGCGCCCTCATGGTCCATTGCCCACTGCTCTGTGCACTCGACTGTGTATTGTCCAACACGGCTTTGGGGAAGGTTTTTCCTGTTGCTTTCTGTCCTGATGTCCAACGTTTTGGAAGTCGGTCTTGTAACTAGGGAGAGAAAGCAAGAACGTTTACGTTTCTCACTGTTTGTGTCAGCTGTCACAGAACAGTAAGCTTCCCTGGGTGGACGGCGTCTCCCTTGGTGTGTGAAGCCTGCAGACCAGGCTCCGGTCAGTCAGGCCTCCCTGAGGGTGGAGTGAGGACGGACGCGAGGAGACTCGCCCACTCTAGTAGCTGGCAGGTGCCGGGCACAGCCTGGCCTGAGCTTGACCGTGGGCTCTGGCTCCGGGGCTGGCGCTGCCTCTCCCGAGACCTGCTGTGAGGCGGGGAAGGGACCTGTCCTGTGGACGTGTGGCTGCTTCTGCACAGTCGGGTCCCGTCTCAGTGAAAACGGTCCCCACAGGTTCCATTTTTGGCTTGGTATCTTCTCTGAGAGCTACAAATACTACAAGAGCCTGTGCCGCCCTTTCGGGGACCCCTGGGCTGCTGCTGGCCGAGGACATGGCGCAGAGCGAGGGCGTGTGCCCGCCTCACTCTGTTCTGATTTGGGTGAGAGGTTGGGTCCCTTTGAGGGTGTGAGGGTGGAGTCTGAGGTCAGGTTGCCCATGTGAAGAGAAGAGATGTGGCGGAGGGTCCCAGGAGAGCACCTGCACCCAGTGGGCAGCACCCAGCGGGGGTGGAGGGAGCGGCGGGTACGAGAAGTTCCCACCAGCCCAGGATAGGCAGAGAGGTGCTGCCTTCTGCAACTGCAGACCTTGGTCCCCATGTGATCCCAGCGGTGACTTTACAGAGTGAGGTGTCTGTCTGCGAGAAACACTGAGGATGGACGTGGAGCCGGGCCTTGCATGTGCTCTGGGGAGTTCAAGGCCTGCGCAGCCACTGTGTGCTCCTCGGGCCCTGTCCCCTGTGTGTGTTGCTGCATGGGGTGTGGAGTCCCCACAGGTGCTGGGGCAGGGGCACCTTTACCCCAGGGTCGCCCTTCGTTTCTAGGAGCAGGAGAGACGTGGAGCCGGTGAGCTGGCCCCGCACGGCTCCTCAGGCCCCGGGGATCTTGGCCCCAGGGCTGGTTTGTGGAGCAGCTGCAGCACGTGGCTGGCGTGGACCTGGCTGTGGTCTGCCCAGCTGTGAATTGCAGCTGGGTGTGGGATGGGGTCCCCAGGGGCTTGTGTAGGGGCCTTCGGGGGGTGGAGGTGGCCAGCAGGACTGAAGTCCCCGAGTTAGGCCTGGAGGACCGAGCGGCTGTCACCTGCAGGCTTTAGGAATGACGTCACTCTCCAGAAAGGCCGTAACTCACACAGCCAGAGAATGACTGGTGTGTGCGGGTGGGTCCCGCTTGGCGCCTTTCCCGTCGGGGGTGTCTGGGCTTCCTCGGCGGGCCTCATGGGTCTGCCGCGCACCTGGCACTGCGCCCTGGGCAGGCGGGCGGTGGGCGACAGGTCCCAGGAAGGTCAGAGCCCTTCTGACCTCTGCTCAGAACAGGAGCCGCTGGCAGCCCGAGAAGTCCTGCTGAGAAAGGCGCCTCTCGCCCCTTTACCTGTGCCCGTCCTGGCGTCAGTGAGTGCCCTGTGGGGCCTCGCCCGCCGGCGGCAGATTCCAGGCCAGTCTGACAGGTTCCGAGGGAGCCTGTGCCCCAGCCCTCCCTGCCGATCCGGACTGCAGGCCTCCGGCGGGGGAGGGTGGGCAGGTGCGCCGGGGAGCGTGTGGGATGCTGCTGTGTGAGCCTCCCTGCCCGCAAGCCCTGTGCCCGCCCGGGTATCGGTGGGGCGTGTCACTCAGGCCTGCCCGCTGCCTTTGTCATCGGTGGCCACGTTTAATGATCAGCTCTAAGCCCATTAACTCGGGCACAGGATAAAATCTTTGTGTCTTCACACTTTCACGCATTCGTCGGTGGGTCCTGGGGACGCAGACAGCTGAGATCAAACGCAGTTTCCAAACAGCAAACGCCGGGCAGCGTCGCGCAGGGCAGCCGGTGCCCACTCCCCGTACTCGGGGCTTGGCGGCTTATTCTTCATGACTGTTCACTGATGCTCTGCTAAAGAAACTTGGATTAACTGTTTTTCCGCCTTACAGTGTGAATTTATACTGCCCTTCTCTGTTCTGTAAACATCAAAAAGAAACTTTTTAGGTAAATTTTGTCATGTTTTAGGGCAGTTTTGTTTAGTTTTGAAAACCCTCATTTCCTCCGCGTTGTGCACGGCGTGGCAGGTGGAGTGACTGTTTTGCGTGGCAGTGATGGGTCCTGAAGGGCAGGTGTGATCGGGGAACGGAGCTCGCAGAGTTGAAACGGCGCAGAATGGCTGCGAGTTGCCCAGAGGCATCTTCTGACCAGCAGTCAAAAGCTGATTGGCAAGAAGGAGAAGGAAGATGGACGCTGTGCTGTGCGGTGCTTTGATTGTCACCTCCCAGCGATTTCCTCACCTGAAACTCTTTTGTAAGCAGAGCTGCGGTGACGCCCCTGCTGGGCAGCCGCCAGCGCGGCTCACCAGGAGCAAACCTGCCGGGCGGCGTGGGCTGCGCCCCAGAAGGGAGATCTCTCCCCCCAGGGCAAGACTGTCCTGAAAAGCCAGGAAACAGCAAGCGTTGCTCAAAGCTATGTCTTGTTCTCACTCCGTGTTCGACTTTCAGGGGAAGTCAGCGCTTGTCTTTAAAGAAAAGTTAAGTAGCTACTACTGACCGGGGTCCACCCCACTGGAGCTGCCGGATCTGGTCTCCACGTCAGCTCTGCCGTGACCCAGAAGTGCTTCACGGGTTTCCCGTGTTTTGCCGTCGTGTTAACTCGTGCGAGCTTTGGTTTTTAGGGCTTAGGGGAACAGAATTTAGCCATAGGCAGGTTTTACGTTTTACTTGGAAGAAAGATATGATGTGTAACTTAAAAAAAAAAAAAAAAAGAAAGAAAGAAACCCATGGATGAACAATAAATTATTGTCTGATATTCTCAAAATTTTTGACTCCAAAATAACAGAGTCATTGTTACCCGAGGTGAACAGCGTATTTTGCCCTTTACTGGTGCAAAGTGTCATACAAATAAGAGCTGAGTTGGGTCAAGGAGGTTGGCCCCTTGCCAAGCCTGTGGCAGGTTGGGGCGCGCAGGCTCCTGCCTCCTGTGGGAGAGAACGCAGCACCCCTTTCT